CATACCACAATATTTGTCGACATTACATGGTCGTGCATTTATTTGCATTGCTGATGGCCATATACACGTTTGCTAATCAAAAGATAGCATTCAGTATTACTCACTTCAACGATACTCACGTACTGATAAAAAGCATAAGAAGTCAGTGCGTCTTCTTTATCAGTGATATGCTTTGATAAGCAGCCCCATTAAATATGATGGTGAGCGATTGTTGAGGTGAGTGTGTGCAACACATAGATGGAATGTGCAGCAAACAAAAGAAGAGCAATAAACTGACAGAAACGAACGTCTCGATTGGTTTTTCATAATGATCTGGTTTTTTTGCATATAATGAAATATTAAGTGTCGGAATTGGGCGATAACCATCACTACGATTCAAACAGCGTAGTGATTAAAACATCGATGCAAATGTTGAGTAATAATAAGAAATACTTGAAATGCCAACGTGAACAATAGAAAAGTTGGTGAACGATCATCAATTCATCATATTTCCATTATTATTATTATTATTATCACAGTATCATTATTATTATCCTAATGTTATTGTTATTGATGTTCTGCATGAACGACAGCAACGGTGTTATTGATATGCAAATGTGATCTCATGCATTCAGACGACGCACTCTTGGCATGATCAGTCTGATGAGAGTTCGATTTCGATTCAATCCGGTGAATATATTCATTTAGAATTCCATCTTCTGTTCAGTGGGAGGTCTTCACGAATGACCTCAATGGACCTCAACAGAACTGTGATGGAAAAACGCATTGCTCTTATTCACAATCGATGGATATTTGGGAGATAAGAGAGATCGGTCAAATTCTGGATTGTAGGTAACGCCATTTTGATTTAAAATCATGGCCGCAAATAGAACGCATTATTGCTTGAGCGTATAACATACTTCTTAATTGAATAATTCGATTCACGCGTTACGGTTCAAGGAGACAGTCAACTTTCTGACAAAAGAAGCTGCCTTAAGGGCTGAAACAATTCGAACTGATATTGTGGTGGAAATTTTCGAAGATCTTGAGTTGTGGAATAGAGTTTCAACGTAAATAATACAGGTGAAAAGCATACGTTGCATTTTGGTGAGAGGAAATGTATGGTTGTATGAATAAAATGAGATGAATATCATGAAACAATATGAGCATGAATGTTCATCATCATGGAATAATACAATTGCTTGACAGTCGGAACGAATGCATGCTTTGAAGGAATAATGTAAATATGCACAAGAGCGAATGGACATATATGTGATAGGCATTTATTCATTTATTTATTTATTTATTTGTGTTTTTATTATCAATACTGACGCTATTTGCTGTTAGCATTCGATTCGATGACACACACACTGAGACACGTTGGCAGACGAATTGAAGCAGCCGAAAATATTTCAAAATATATCGTCAATACAAAACATTACAAAAACAGAACGTAACATCTTTCAGAATACTAACCAAAATTTTAGTATCTAAAAATTTAATGGTTCAACAAACTTGCTTTGGTAATTTAATTAAAAGAGCAGGTTTGAGAGCAAACGGAGATGAGAAAGCACTTCAACACAATTGAAAATCAATTTGAGCAAAATAAAAATCAATTCTTAGAGATGATTACAAGAAATCAGTTTTTGACATTTCACCGTAACTATCGCTTGCCAGAAATAAACTGCAAGAAACGAAAAACATTGCACTTTTGGAGTTGCAGTCATGTTGGAAGGTCGAATAATTGCTCTGCATACAAAAAATACAGGACATTTTGTGTGTTTTTCTTGAACTCATGAAAAGTTATGAGTTTGTTTGCGCATTTTGTTAACACCATACACACAAATTCTCTCCTTTTATGACTATTCTCTTCAAATGCGTCGCCGTAACCGTGATCACAGAGTGCAACATTCGAATTGATATTATCTTCGAGTGAAAATGCTGCATTTATGAAGTGATTTTATGTCAACACCAATTCTATTTCTAGAAACTGAATGTGAGCTATGCAAAGTGTCAATATAAAAATCATTAAAAATTATTGCACACTTTCTCCCTGAGAATCTCCACAAATTGTTTTCTCACTGTTTCTATGCATGATTTGAACAGGTCGAATGAACATTCGCCTCTTCTCAAGCAAATTATGACACTGACTTGAGATGATGATGAGATGATCTCATCGTTGAATGAATATGATCAAATTGAAGAAACTAAATAAATAATGCCAGCTAAAGAAGTAAATGAATGAGAAGTTAAGCAAATAAACAAATAAGTAACTGTAACCTTTTGTGATGAACGTATGCTACTGGTTGCTGATGTGGAAAGTGGTACGATAGACGGAGGAGGAGGAGGTAACGGTGGAGGAGGTGGTAGCGATGAGTGTGAATGATATGTGGGACTTGAAGATGACATACCTGAAATTAGTGATTGGTTTCATTCACATTATTCCACTGCTTTGACATTGTGCCTTTGCGATTGCAGATGTTGAAAATCTATTTTCTAGATATCATAGACAAATGCGAGGCACTCAGTTGAGTTCGTTACTACATTCTTATAACACATCAACAACCACATTAAACTTCTTCTCTAATGAAAATTATTCGATGTGTTCAATCACTTCGCACGCAACTAACGAGCGATAAAATCAATTCCTTTCATGCATTCAGTAAAATTCATTGGTTGATTGCAAACATTCGTTTAATTTATTCATTTCTCTAACTGCGACAATGGATGGAATTGTGTATTTGTTATTACACGATAAAGGGTTTCTTTCGCTCACATTCCACTTCCTTAACTTGCATTTGAGAACTGTTTCTTTTGCTGATTGCTGTCTTACCTTCTTTAAATTCAAAATTACAGATTTTAAAGAAGAGCTGAGCCATCCATAAACAAGCAACTACATTCACTTGCATTCTTTCATTACTCCCTCTCTCGCATTCTCCTCTCATTTCAAAGTTTGTTTTCGAGTTCGAAACAAATCCTGTTTCGTTTATTGTCCACAAAAAACATTAATCAAAAAAGAAATGTTGTTGACTCGTTTAGTGACTGACTGACTGACTGATATGTGTTGTTCTCTTCAGTTCTCAAACAGGCCATAATGTCGCCGCCACTACTAGCACTACTGGAAGGCAAATATTCTACAACATCTACGAGATGGCATCTACGAGGTGACACAAATTAACCAAGTGACATGAATTTCAAAGAATATGGGCCAAGATTTTGCCCTCCTCAACGGATGGATACCGCATATGGACGCAGCGATTTTGGTGAAAGAGATCAATTGCTTGAAGGTATCACAGTGCTTTCGTGAATATCTCCAGCAGCAGTCATTCATTGCAAATATTGTTCGGAGCAAAAGAGAACGGGTACGATTTGGTTACAGTCTCAGTCCAATTTGTTACAATCACTCGAAAAAGTTTGAAAACAACTCGCTCACATTGACATTCACAAACGTTTACAACTGGCAATAATATTTCAAAATCTTAACAAATTCAATACGAAAATTGAAAATGACCATACTGAAACAAAACATTTACCGATGAAATTGCGATCGGTATTCATAAAAGACTTCACTGGGCTCATAGCATACTGAGCAGCTCCATAGCGTGGTGGACAATAACGAATCGTTTGTTCCAAGTCATCAACAGGTCTACCAATACCACTGGTGTTGTTGTTGTTATAGTAGTAATAATGATTATTAGTATTGGTATCGGAATAATTATTGGTGTCGTAATTTAGGAGATTAGTTGGTAGCATAGAATTGGCTGAAGGAGCACGTTGTGAACTCATTGATTGCAGAGTGTTTGTGTTCGTGGTTGTCCAGGCAACCGATGTCGGGGTGGGTGTTGAATGCACGTTGAGAACGGTGCTATTCGGAGACGGAGATGAAAGGACGTCGACCTTGGCCAACGATTGCCGTTCCATTGCTGCTGCAGCATTCATATCCATTTGTCTAGAATCAGTTTCGTGACGAGTAAAGATCAAGAATTCGGATAAGACAATCGTGAATGCATAATCATACAATATAACCTCCAAACTGGATAATATCTCATCAAGTGATCACATCTGCATGTGATACACAACTGTTCGTTCACCCAACTCAATCAGTTTCTGGGAATACGCAAAGATTTTAACGTTCTCATAATGCAACAATCCCCATTCATATTTTTAGCATTAATTAGGGACGAATATGCGGAAGTGAACAAGACTGAACATGGAAATGTGACACTCATTGAAATTTTGAAACCACTAATATCAAAAATCATCGACGAATGTGATTAGAATGGATAAATTTTTGGCAGCTACTTCGAATGATTCAAGGAAATTAGCGAATGAAACGGATGAAATTAAAGCGATAAATGAAATAAATATCCACTGACATCTTCTCGGCAATACTTTTCTCCATGATGGCCGTCTCATCGATGGGATTCGAACAAATTGATACGTCAAGAACGGAATCCCTTGACTGATCAAACGATAGTGATACTGAGTTCAGTGAGCAACGTTCCTCCCTGGAATAGCACAGAAAACATTCAGAATCGACCATGACTAGATGATTGCTTTTGATACTTCGTCATAACTGAAGTGAAGCCTCTTTTTTGAGGCACATCATGATCAGACATATAAAACAATTGCGTCTCTTGTTCTTCTCATTCCTCCTCTGACGATAGTGTCAGAAACAAGGACGTTGAAAGTTTGTAAAATGAGAGAGTCCTAATGTGGGCATCAGTAAAAATATCATTAACACTGAATTCGTTATTGAATGAACTAAGAAAAATATCTTTCAGACAAACTACATGATTCATGAGAACCGCCTTATGTTAGCAATGACATCAGGAAAAACGCATACCGGAGAAGGCTTGAAAGTTTTTAAAACCATAATCAGTTTTGCAATATAAACAGGATAATGTTCGCAGTGGATTAAACGATCAAGAAGTTGCATTGGATCACGGAATTTGTCAACTCAACAGCATTATTCACTCCGATCGAGCAATCAATAACTCATGCTCGATTACAATATGTACAATAATAAATCAATTGCATGACTGTCACATAATAATTGAATGCATTGTGCGTGAGTGCGGAATGACTCACGACAATGAGAAGCAATGGCAAATCTCACAAAATCAACATCATTTTTGTGGTTGCTTTGGATGAAACATGAAATTTTTTAATTTTAATGTGCATCCCATCAAAATTAAAATGATACATTCTAACGGTCCGAAATGACGATAAATATGATAAAAGAAAAAGTAATTATTTCAGTGCACTTGCAAATAAGATGCAATATCGGAGGTTCTGTGAATGTTAAATAAAACTGAAACATCGCTCGCTAGTTTCTCAACAACCATCTGAAACCAAAAACATTTTTCTAACTCTGACATAGGTGACTATTCGCTATTCTCATTTTGTGATGTTTACAAAATGTGACTTAATTTGAAATAGATCCCTACCGACCACAAATAAAATAAGGATGTGAATAAAACTGGCAAATTAAGTCAACCAACCGATAGTATCCCAAATGTATCTCTGAGTAGGTTACGATCTATTTCGTCTATCCTTAGAAGTGTTTATTTATAGATTGCTATTTGCATATTCCCAACTAATGCAAACAATACAACGACGAAAACGTTTCACAAACAAACAACAGTCATATTTATTCTAACTAATAAATGTATCGCTCGAAATCAACAAGGAATTCGTAATGATAACAGAGTCATAAACCACGTGTGCGATGTTTGTATTTCGTCACATGTGTATGAGTAGGTTTAATTTTTAACTTTATTTCGAACGATCCATTTGCATAGATATGAAAATGGGAAAGTTCGGTAGTTGGAAGATGTCACCTTCAACGATAAGGTTTTATCGTTGACTCAATTACAATTATGGATTTGTTTATCTATATGAATTTCAGTTTGGTTATCCATATATGAGTATTCAACTATGCTTATCTATATAAATCGAATAACAGCGGGTGCTGCCGAGCTGAACTTGGATGAAAACATTACTGTGATTCTGAACAGATCTATTACGCTTAATGTATAAGTGTCTCGCAGCATAACGCCGTCATTTCAACGGAAAACCAAAAAAGTGGCGTGCTTTCAATCAATCATAATACTTCAAAATTATCACATGGCTCCGACGCATTATGAGCATAAAACTATCTTGAAACCAGACCCACATCATTCATGTTGAGAGGGATGCAGAAGAGGTTAGAACAGTTTCACTTGCAAATAAATGCTCAGAGATGCAGTGAACATCGCAGATACAGCGAATAATCAGATAAATATGATTTATTGCCAAGCATAATTTCGAACAAGGAAACGTCTACTTGGATAATGATTCTCTTTGATCATTTACGTCAACGCGGCACAACTCTCCGCAGGTAGCATATGTTCTGAAATCGTCATTCAAATTCGAACCACAAATTGAAATTTTCAGTTGCGATCATTGAGGTTCAAAGAATAACCGAAACGTGAGTTATTTTCATTAATACTTAGCAGATCGTTCGAATCAGAATTCAGTTCAGTAGCATTCGCGAATGCGGATACATGTGCCATTTAGTGTTTGAAATGTGGAAATTTATTAGTGATAAGGATTATGTGGTGAAATATGGAATCCATTGATGAAGTATTACAAAAAACGTTGACTAAGATTATTTGAAGTGATAATAACGATCTTCGACGACCAAACGCAGAAGTACTAAGCAGTCATCTTCGAAGTAACCGAGCCACATCACATGAGTGAGTGAACAACAATTCAGCTCAAATGCTATTCGTTCACTCTGATTTTGTCATTCTTAGTCGCGAATCAATTCACTTGAAGAATATGAAGCAATAATTTGGAGAAGTCGTTATGGACCATTGAGAAATTTATGATCAGTTGTTCATGAAGGGTATCATGCACTGCATTGTCCTTGACATTTGCACTTACAACTACACTAAATCATACACAGCATTCATCGCTCACAAAGGAAATTTCAAAAATTATTCTTTTGCTTTAAGATGCATCACTAGATCGTAGTTAGTGAACGTTCCGTGAACCGTCTTTACCGGATCTTATTCACTATCAGATCGTTGCTTTAAACAGTATTGACTGCTTTGTATACGCTTTATAAATTAACGTAAATATCGCCAAGATTGAGAGGCAACTAAAGTGA